TTTTGACTCAGATATATAAATAGTGGTAAAATATATGATAGGACAAATAACAACACATAATGTCACGACAAAATTCTAACTGTGTAAAAGAAATACTCGAGATTCATCGCTTGGTTTTTTTGCTGTAAAACAGGTAATGATTCTATTTCTTTATATTCCGACTAGAAGATTTTAATATATACAATTTTATTTAGAATCTGGAAATTCTTGTTCTACACTTTTCTTGATATGACAATTGACGGTGTAACATTACTGTATGAAGCATCTTCACATATAAAAGAACATGTTTATTTAATTACAACTCTCGACTGTTGAATTTAATATCAACTAGATGTAACTCTGCGTTTTAAGAATATTATTGAATTACTGAAGATGGCCAGATTGTGGCCGAAACGTTTAATGTTTTAATTAATGTAATAATAATTAAATATCACAAACTATAACTTGTGCTCCGGTTTTTTATGCTCTTATTTTTTATATGTGTTAATATTAGAACCACGTTAGTTTCAAGATATTTTGTATATAATTAATTGCACAATAAAAGTTGAAAAGAGAGAGAGAGAGTTTACCTACGTAATCAACATTCAATTAATGCTTACCAATTAAATAAATTTTCCTTTTCCCTTAGTTATACTAATGCTCCATGACACGTTTAATTGGAGAAGCATTCCAGATATATGCATCATTCCTTGCACCTGGGTATCGTACATTTAATATAGGGTGTAGTAACAAGATATCCATTATTTTTGCATGAAATTGAAGATTTTATTTAGTATAGTTAGAATGATTCGATTTAGGTCAAATATGCATCGTTCGATAACTTGTTACCATTTTGAAGGTAATTCCATTATGCCTCTCTCATAGAAACCCTCGTCCCTATTGGCAAAAAACTGGGACAGTCGATTTTCACAAGCTTCTCTTGAGGCGAATTTTTCACCAGCAAAATCATTCGCCATAGACAGGAACAGGTGATAATCACTTGGAGCCAGGTTGGCCCGGACTATAAGGTGGATGCATAAGAACCTCTCAACCAAATTCCCGGAGCTTCTGGCGAGTCACTATCGATGTGTATGACCTTGCGTTGTCCTGATGGAACACAATTCCTCTCCTATTGGCCAATGCTGGCCGCTTCTGGGCGATTGCTTCCTTCAGATAGTCCAATTGTTGACAGTACAGGTCCGAATTAAGAGTTTGGCCGTAGGGGAGCAGCTCATAGTAGATGATTCCCTGCCAATCCTACCAAATGCACAGCAAAACCTTCCTGACTGTCAATCCTGGCTTGGTCACCGTTTGCGCCGGCTCACCGCGATTCGACCACGACCGTTTTCGCTTGACGTTGTCATAAGTGACCCACTTTTCATCACCAATCATCATCCGCTTCAGAAATGGATTGATTTTGTTGCGATTCAGCTGCGATTCGCAGATGGAAATTCAGTCCATCTTATATTTTCATATCTGGATCAACTGTCTGTAAAAATATTAGAATTAACAGAATACTTTCTATAACTTTACACACACACACACACACACACACACACACACGCGCGCGCGCGCGCGCGCGCACGCACGCACACACTGTTAATATATTATATTAAGTCATTTAAAAAGTATCCGCGGTTTTTTGTTCAATTTTTGAATGAAAAAACCGCGGATATTTTTTAAATGACCCAATATTAGATGAAGTAAAAAGAAATCCATTATTTTTCCAATAGATGCTAGTAATCTGTATCACGCGTAGACGAGATACAGATTACTAAAGCCATCTATTGGAAAAATAATGGATTTCTTTTTACTACACCAATATATATATATATTTATATTTATTAATTGGAAATCTAATTAGCATATTAAATAACAAATTATTTAATTTTAGATTTAAACTAAGGATCTTACATCTTTAAATTAAAAGTTATTCGCATTCATTAATACATTTAACGGTACTTAGTAACTAATGGAGTGAGTGGTGTGAACGTTGCGGGTATATGTGTGAGTGTGTTCGCGGACATCAATGCAGACCTAAAATATTAAATATAAAGAAAAAAAAGGTGTCGTGAA